GTTGTTGCGCAGCGGAGAGTGTTTTAAAGCGTCTTCGAGGCTAAATGAAGATTCGTTGCACTTACGGGTGTCGTGATATATCCATCCAATATAACAGTTGTTCATCTTTTTAGATGTTTTGAACTGGGGAAGCGATTTATTTAGTTTGTGTCGCAAAGAGACAACCTGGGGTTCGAAGGGGTGCATGAAGATCGTGAAATACATTTTGCTCCAATAGAAAGAAGATCTTGCAGTTGCAGCTTTTTTGGGTTTTTGTCTTGCAGGTCGAAATCTCTCGTCACCCGACAGTTCGTCCTCTGAGAGCCTCTAAATTTGCGAAGAGTACGAAGTTGGGCGTTTTGGTAAAGCGTAATTCACCACGTGACGCATAATGCGGCATAGGACAACAGAAGGGACGGAGAGCGGCCATCTCTTGTCCTACGTCAAATTTCGCACCACGTAATCAGTTATTGAACATTAGTACCTACACGTTTATCGCATTGCCACAAGTCACATTTTTGCGAAAGTCCACTCGATAACACCTTCAGTTTACCGTATAGACCACACTGGGATGCGTTTCGTTCAACTAGACGTATAAGACTGGAAATGAAGCAGCTTTGGAGTGTTTTTTTTTTTTTTACCGTCATAGTGTGGTAGCGGCTGCAGTAACCGCCATTGGCCTCTAAGTCAAAGCGAATCGCTGGATCCACGGTTTTAGGTTCTGCGCCATCTTTCAGTTTGGCTGCTCTTTCATTCTATATCTTACGAGAGTGTCACGTAGCAAGCACAATGTATCGTCAGGTTCGCGTGCGCCGGGCTATATTTTTCTGGGGGAGGGGGGAGGGTTCTATGCATGTATTAGTCGAATACACACGTTACGTACTGCACATGCGCACTGCTATCCCGTAACGAGCTGCGTACGTAGGCTCATTACACACGCCCAACTGAAAGAGAATAGTATTTCCGTAGACCCTGCACCGGTGTGCATCGCTTCTGTGTTTAGAATAAGTTGTGAACGTTTTAAAGCGCTACATGCACTCTACTGTGGGGGACGGGCTATCCAAATTTATAAACATTACAAGTGAACTCCTGTGGTACAGGCATCACGTCGGGTTAGCGTCAACTGTAGTTGGGTGCCATCCGCTGAAGTTGATTTATGCAGCAGTGTCCAGGGCTACGATCCTCGCGAGCACCAGCATTTCATATCAGCTTATAACTTCTTGTCTTGCTAATACTCATGTTTCTGATGGCATGATTGCACAAGTGCAAGTAAGTGCTTACATAAACATGTAGAACGGTTCAACATATGTCTGCGCGTGCAACATTTGTACGCACGTTTAGCGTCATGACGTGTCGTTCCATGACATGCCTATGACCCCCGTGGTCATGTGCACGTCATGGAACGTTCACTATTTGTCCCGTCATGTGCACGGGACAAATAGTGAACTTCTTTTTACGTCAAGGCAATGGACGGGATGCTCACGCAGCCATTGCGAAGTCTCGTAATTTTCTGTTGCCTCAACTATCTCGCGCGTTAATGTAAAACCACATCGCCCCTGATGTGATATGTGGGGTTCAACATCCCAAAACCACCATGTGATTATGAGAGACGCCGTAGTGGAGGGCTCCGGAAATTCCGACCACCTGGGGTTCTTTAACGGGCACCCAAATCTGAGCACACGGGCCTACAACATTTCCGCCTCCATCGGAAATGCAACCGCCGCAGCCGGGTTTTGAACCCGCGACCTACGGGTCAACAGCCGAGTACCTTAGCCACTAGACCACCGCGGCGGGGCAACCACATCGCCCCTGCACTCGACCCTTTTCGTATTTGGGTTTGCACACAGTGTTCCACACGTGCTGCAATGAAGGGCTAAGGGTCCGTTGTTTATGTGGCGAACATTACTGCAGGATGACGTGGCAATAACTGCGTGACCATAGCGTCCATTGCCTTGACGTGAAAATAATTTCACCATTTATGTCGTGCATATATGACCGCCGAAAGTGGCGCAGGATGATATCACATTCGTTTCTTTTACGAAAAATAAAGGGAGGGGGTCACATTGATTTTAGCTCAGGCGGTCCCATGCCGCCAATTTCCCACGGGTGGGTGCCCTTCCGAGCAAATACAACTTCGTTCTGCCGAGCACCAGGCTGGAAGCGCGCTTGTACCTTAGGTACCTGACGGCAGCAGTTCTCTGCCTCCCACAGCAGAGGCAGACGCTAAAATATTTCATCAAGGCTGTGGTGGGTTAAGGTGCGCCCTGGGGCTTTCGCAGAACCTCATGGGGCTACCTTTCAAGATTAGTACCCAGAAACAACCAAGCGCCAGGTAGGTGTACTGCTCTACCCATTGGGAAAAACCGGTGGGTTCCCTGTCGGTTCTGGAAATCGAACCCGGTGCCTGCCGCCTAGGAAGCGGACACTCTAACCACTATAGCCACCACTACGGTCAACCGAGTTATCCTCCGCTTCATTGCAAATATTCATTTCCAATGTTTTGCTCATGTGCCGAGGTTTTTTCGCAAATATTGATTTCCAATCTTTAGTTCACGTGTCGGTAATAAATTTCAGTTATAAGTTCAGTGCTATTCTATGTTTCTTCTTCTTACATTGTTCCTTGCTACACGGTTGTCAGTATAATGAATCACCAACTTGCCCGAAGATTTGCAATCTTGATACGTGTGGTTTAACGTCTCACAATTTCTATATTATTATGAGAGACGCCCCAGTGAAGGGCTACGAAAATTTAGACCACCTGGCGTTCACTAACGTGCACCCAAATCTGAGCACACATTGAGCACTATCGGACAAGAAAGGGTTGCTACGTTATACTCGCTGGGCGTAACCTCCCTAGTTTTAGAAAGGTTCAGCGAGCATTGGGCCGCAGTGCCATGAATACAATGAACTAGTATATACCATGAACACGAGGTGGTTAAAGGTGGGAAGTGGACACGAAGCGCAAGCCGTAAGAAAATGTGCGTGTGCCACCTCTCGTTTAGTCCTTGGAATGTCCGCTAGATGGCCCTGCTTCTAAATGTGGAATATATGATGAAAAGATGCGAGATGGCGGTACTTGGAGTGTTGAATAGATGGACGACCAGACACACAGACAGATGCATGGACGGACGCATGGATGGCTGCACGGACGGATGGACGCATAGATGGACGCAGGGGCGGATGCATGGACGAACGTAGGGACGGACGCAGAGATGGACGTGCGGACGCACGAACAGACGCACGCACGGATGGGCGGATGGACGCATGAACGGCCGCGCAGATTGACGTATGAACGGACGTAAGCAAGAACGAAAGGACGGACGGGTGTGTCGCCCCACTCTAAATAATTCCTTCCGTGGATATGCTGCCATGTTTTTTTTTTTTTGGACACGCCAAAATCCCGCATTTCTACGTGCACCTCGAACACTAAGCGGCGTCTACATGAAACGCCGATGGTGCACCCCCGTCACGCTCTATAGCATGACGAGACGCGCGCCAAGACGGACTAGTTCGCGCGTAGTGATACATGTGCAGAAGCTCCACCTCCTAGCTTTACTTCAATGCCAAGAAATGTCGCCGAGTATAGTGGTACTTTTGTCATTCCAGTTGCAGCATAGTGTTTCTGACTCGACATGAAGCACGTGTCTAAAGCAAACTATATTGCAGGACATTGATTAATAAACATTCGTTGCGAGTAAACAGAATTGTATGTGGCTTCCTTTCAGTAGTGTTACATTTTCGCGACATTCTACTTGTTAAATTTTCGGCACTTTGCCACCCGACTGTGGGCCCCGAACCCCTGGTGCTGCGAGTGGCGTCCCAAAATAATTTCAGAATGCACTAATTCACACTGTTGTGTAGGCTTCTGAAGTACACATGGTATCAAAACTCTAGGGACGATCGATATATGTGGGGATTAATGTCCCGAAACCACAATATGATTACGAGAGACGCCGTAGTGGAGGACTCCGAAAATATCGACTACCTGGGGTCCTTTAACCTGCACCCCCAAACAAATGCCTAGGGACAACGAGTGGCTCCCAAGAACGTGGCAACGAGTGATGGCGGCTAGGTGTTTCCACTAGAAACTGCAGCTGAAGCTACCTCATCCTCATCGGAACCGCACTCAGGAAAGCAACGAGAGGAACAGGCCACCATACAAGCAAGCTAGCCGTGATATAAACGAGATGGACCGCCTGAAAGATAAACGCGCTGCTAGACGAACGCCGTTAACGAAAGTAATAAAGGAAGTAAAGGTGGTACTAGAAGGCGACACTAACGACCGCAATTTGAAATTGTGGTGGTTTGGGGCTCTAAGACGTGGACACGAAACATTTCTGGACTGGATACAATAACTCTGGTTGGCCAAACACTACACATATCAGGAAAGTGCTGACCACGCTCCTAGCCTACTTAAGCGCGACAATCGGAATGGATGGATGGATGAAAAACTTTTATTGGGGTCTTGAAGGATTCTACCCCCGTTTTATAGGGGCAGTATCGCGGGCCGCTCCCACGTTGGAATGTTCCAGAATAATTTATGTAGGGTTTAAAATCCCAAAACCATTATATGATTATAAGAGACGCCGTAGGGGAGAGCTCCGGAAATTTAGGCCACCTGGGGTTCTTTAACATGCACCCAAGTATGAGCACACGAGCCTACAACATTTTCGCCTCCATCGGAAATGCAGCCGCCGCAGCCGGGATTTGATCCCGCGACCTGCGGGTCAGCAGCCGAGTACTTTAGCCACTAAACCACCACGGCGGGCAATATTGTAATGGATTACAAGTAAATAATTACTTGTAATGGGTTACCTAAGACTGCTTTTGACCAACATAGGCAACTCGCACGACTATAGGAGATGCATCAGTCCTTTATTCGTGCCAAACGCATCAAGCGTATACTTGCCGCACTTGTCGGAACGCAGGCGCTGCATGCCCTGCGCAATCAGCCATAGTACAAGAGTCTCCAGGATAAGAAAATCGCTGGGAATAAAAACTATATTGACATAAAATTCAGCACAGTCATTAAAAGTTTCTCAACGCAGAGATCTGCGCGTTGCGTCAGACGAGTTTTTTTTCCTTCGAAGCACCCTCATTCACGGAGCGGTCACACGAAGTACATCTCGTCTACGATGTTATCATGCACCTTCACGGCAACTTTATAGTCTTCTAAATGCGCCTCACGACTGAGACCGGAGCCTTGTATGTGGTTCTTGGCCCGGAAGGCAGCAAGGTGAGCATAGTAGACCGGTGACGGAATGCTCACGCTGCGGGTGCAGCGCGCCACCAGATGGCAGAGGTCGAACGTGAGGTGCTGCAACTGCTGAAGCGTGTGTGCGGACTCTTTGCAGAGGACGTGGTAATGAGCGGGCCTGCTCGTTCCGATCAGGCCTTGGTGGCTACAGAGGAAGAAGTTGAGGTGTCCCGGATGAGTGATCACGTTTTCGACGGTCGTCCCTGGCGGGACGTTCACATTTACCGGCTGCTCATCGAAAATAGGCAGAAATCGAGTGTGGTGCCGCTTCTGAACAATGATGAACGTCACCGGGGGGTCGTACTTGGGGCTTATTCTTTTGCAGGCTTTCTTGATTGCATCGACTTCTTTAGCTTGAACTTCCTTGAATTGACCTTCACCGACTCCATCCCTGTAGACGATTATCCTCTGTGGTCGTCTCCGATGTTCACAGTAGAATGACAAGTGGTTGAATACCATGTCCTGCACGAGGCAGAATTGGAATGAAAGTGAACTAGAAAGAAGCATTTGGGAGTTCTTTAGCATAGTGAAATGCACTGTACTAGGACAATGGCAAGGTTTGTGTACGAGAACACTCGGGTATAATTTTGGTTATAGAAATCATCGAAACCCACGTGAGTGGCATTTGGTTATGGCTTCTCTGAAGGTTCTCGATATAAATGCGCACACGAAATGAAAGTGAAGGCACAAGAATCACCGAAATCCATATTTCTCATGGTCAGTATGCCTAGTCTTTATGCAATCGTCATTTATTGTTCGCATTTAAACCAACAAACAATTCAAGCCTAGATAGCCCACTTTGCAGTTTAACTGCACGCAAAAATTCACTACCGTGTGTTTGTACGAAGAAAATAGCTTATACGAATTGGGAAGTTTTATTCATGGTAATAATTAAGCCTCAATGCTACTATTTTTGACACAACAACATTGGTTAACAGTAGTCTTAGAAATATTGCGAATGACCTGTTGCACCTGTCGAATTTTGTCGATTTCTACGCCAAAATTCTGCATGAAAATGGCCGAATAAAGCGCTTGATACCAATGATGCATCGGGTAAGAGAAACTCGAAAGCTGCACAGATTTCCGAGTCACATGACTCGTGATTCCAACGACAATTATTTCTTGTTAGAGTCGATCAGAAATACACAGCATACTTTAGTATTTCATATTTACACTGAAATGACAGTTTTGGGTTACTTCATAGGACGCGCATATGGAAGTAATTGTGGCATAAAAAGCCGCTTGCAAAGCGTTAGATGTCATTCGATTCATGGTTAACTACTGACCTGCGGGTAAGAGCAAAGCAAGAAAAGTCGTGGTAGTAAATTTACAAACTTAGCAGCGACTGCCTTCAGTTAATAGTTTTGCACATAGTAAGTGCCTGTAAGATGATCTACACGTTCTTTAGAGCGCAGCTCCGAGGAGCCAGTTCGTGCGTTAAGCGGCATAGCCGTCGGTGACGTAAAAGGGGGAACAAACACGTGCCGCAAAAACTGGACAAGTATCTCTCTCTCTCTCTCTCTCTCTCAAGTTGTGATAAAAAGCAAAAAAAAAGGCACCCACCACTAACTGTCTACTACTACTGCGTAAATCAAGTGCGATCAAACCAAAACTGTGTGCCACATGAATCAGGCAAACAAAAAGGCTGGTATAGTAGCACCTGACATCAGCAAGCTCTGTCTCCCCAAGGCAGACAACCACATTTAGTTATCACTGGGAACCGAATCTGGACCGACTTTCTTGCTTGTCTCCTTGCTCAATGTTGGCCCCTGTTGCCGCGCATGCCAAAGACATGCACAAGCCCTTTTATCCTCAGTTTTTATTTAACTGGCAGACATTTGTTTTTCATTGATTTGGAGTTACTGAAACCTCGGGAACACATTTTTCTGGGCATTCCATTAGTATACCAGAACAATGGCTCCATGTCCTTAACATAAGACACCAGGGCTTGTGCTACGCTAGTAGTGCGTAACATGTCTTACGCTTTGACCTACAAGGTGGTGCCGGTGAGAGATTTCTCCTGTGCGTTGTTGAACAATAAAAAATTCGCAGCGTGCGCGTTAACTAAAAGCCGAATTCTCTGGTCTCTCATTCCCCCTTAGCAGCCATTGGCATGTACATTGAGCACTATCTGACAAGAAAGGGTTGCTACGTCACACTGGCTGGGCGTAACCTCCTTGGTTTTAGAAAGGTTTAGCGAGCGTTGAGCCGCAGTGCCATGAATACAGCGAACTAGTATACACCATGAACTCGAGGTGGTTAAAGTTGGGAAGTATACACGAAACGCAAGCCGTAAGAAAGTGCGTGTGCCTCCTCTCGTTCAGTCCTTGTAATGTCCGCTGCACGGTGGTGCTTCTATACGAGGATTATATGGTGAAAAGATGCGAGATGGTGGTACTTGGAGTGTTTAATAGGTGTACGAACGGACACACGGACGGACGCACGGACGAATGGATGCTCGGACGGGCGGGCGGATCGACGCATGCATGGACGAACGAACGAACACATGGATGGACGGAAGCAAGAACGAATGGACGGACGGATGTTTCACCCCACTCTCCATCATTCACTCCGTGAATATGCTGCCATTTTTTTCGCTACCTGAGATTGAGCTGATGAAGTGTGTGCCGCAAAATTGGACAGCGGCTTGCTGGCAGTGCCTGCGCTCCCCGCGCTTACCAAAGACGTTGCGCACTCGCTGCACCTCGCATTAAGCGCACATTTCCACACATGAAATGTTAAGTTTGAGTGGATAATATGAACATAAAAGCATTCAAGAGATCTTTCCATTTCTGATGCGTGCTAACATCCGACTACTTTTCTTCGAAACCTTCCACTTATCTGACGACCTCGCGAAAAAGTTGCGGATACGTGATCGCTGAGAGCCAATCATTATTGCAGCTAGTCTGACGCACCTCCACTCACATTTGTGACCACAAGGCTGAATTATTTCATTGTAATAAACAGCTGGAGGACGCGTGTTGTCTAGAGAGGGCGAGTTTTAGAAAAATAGTGGTAGCAAACCGTGCATGCACACTGCAGATGCCTCGCTTGCATTGTGTCAAGAGAGAGAGATAAAGATGCAAGGAAAGGCAGGGAGGTTAACCAGACGCACGTCCGGTTTGCTACCCTGAACTGGGGAAGGAATAAAGGGGAGAAAAGAGGTTGCAGAAAGATGAGAAGGTACACACAATCACGAGCACACTCGGGGAGCACACACAGTCTACAGGCGGTCGCTCAGGTTTGTTGACTTTAGGTAAAGTAGCAGTGCTTTAGTTGCTTTCTGCGCACTGAGGCAGATGCCCAAGGTCCTAGTATCTTCTGCACACAAAATGGTCCGGGGTCAAGTCGATTCAAAACCATCCGGAGCTGGCATCGCTGTGTGTCGTAGCAAGCGCAGCTGCACAGGACGTGTTCGATGGTCTCTTCAGCTCCGCAGTAGTCGCATGTAGGAGTGTCCGCCATACCAATGCGAAAGGAGTACACCTTTGTAAATGCAACACCCAACCAAAGGCGGCATAACAGTGTAGCATCGGAGCGGGAAAGTTGTGATGGTAGCTTTAGCTTGAGCGAAGGATCCAGTTCATAAAATTGACACCTTTGGAAGCTGGTAGACCACCAGAACGTGCGTGTGAGATCTCGAGCCAGCAGGTAAAGTTGTCTTGCTGCATAATTCCTTGATAAGGAATCGGGACTACACGGGTTTCTTCATGGGCTGAGCGGGCTGCATCATCAGCTAATTGATTTCCGGTAATACCGATATGTGCAGGTAGCCATTAATATATAATATCATGCCCTCGTGCTAGAGCTGCATGATGGCAATGTCTTATTTCTTGTACCAGTTGGTCATGACTCCTCCTACGCATGGCAGACTGCAAACTCTGAAGCGCTGCCTTCGAATCACAGAATATGACCCATTTTCCTGGAAGTTCTTCTGATGCCGTAGATGTAGTCATATGCGACAACTTAAACTTGATTGTCATTTATGCAGCCGGAATTACAGCGGCACCTGATGAACTACTGGACGAGACGGACCCATCAGTGTATATCTGCATTCGGTCTAAGTACAACTCATGTAATAATAGCAGTGTTGCTTGCTTCAATGCTACTCTGGAGTAAGTGCTTTTCTTTTAGATGCGGAGCATTTAATACTCGAGGCTTGTAGTGCGGCGCGTCGCAAGCTTCCTCCTCCTCCTTCCACCATCTGTGCATCCCTTCCTCCTCTACACACTGCGCGCGCTTCTCTTCACGAACATTCGCTAGCTGTATAATGTAGCGCGCATGCGCTGTCACGCTTCGAAAACATCGGCAGCTGACGCGCGCGCATGCGCCGTCGCGCTTCGAGAACATCGGCAGCCGACGCGCGCGCATGCGCCGTCGCGCTTCGAGAACATCGGCAGCCGACGCGCGCGCATGCGCCGTTGCGCTTCTCCCCCTTCTCGAACATTCGACAGCTGACGCGCGCATGCACCGTCACCCACCATCTGTGCTGCGCGCGCTTCTCCCCTTCGAGAACATTCTACAATTCTTCTGATTCTCCAGTGGACGCGCATGCGCCGTCGCGCTTCGAGAACATTCAACAGCTGACAGTGCATGCGCCGTCACGCTGTATATATACTCAAGGTCGGCGTTCGCTCGCTCAGTTGCCGCTCGTCGGTTGGTTTGTACGGCGCGTCGACGTCCAAGGTCGCGGTGAAATGAATGCCAACGAATGCACAAACACAATGATCGACGTCCCTTCGACCAGCGCCGCCCTTTCGCATACGTGTGTACGTGTTCACTCATTTAACACGCCCTCCTACAACCACGTTAACCAATTCAGCCATCGACCCAAGTAAGTCGCAATTTAACACCCCATTTCACAACCACGTTAACCAATTTAGCCATCGACCCAAGTGAGTCGCAATTTAACACCCCATTTCACAACCACGTTAACCAATTTAGCCATCGCCCCAAGTAAGTCGCACTTTAACACCCCGTTAACCAATTATATGCTCCGCATCCTCCTCAGTGTTCCCCCGAGGGAAGCTGCGGACAATCTTTTTGATTCCCGGAATTTCTAGACGTACTTGCGGCTGGTTGAGGCACCACAAAGGACATGCAGTTCTCGCAGCTGGCGTATATCCTGATGGAATGCTGTTTGGGTGCTTGGCTATGACGTCTGAAAACGTAGCACGTCGTCTTCCGGAAGGTAGAAGGGCCAAGTGGTGGTCGGGGACACGGCTAGCATGTCGAATGTGCGCTCTGAGGCAATCCACAACTATATATGTCCTGACCGGATGGTCTTTGGCAAGCATGATTGTGGCATAAGTAGAAGCGCATCGGGGCAGTCCTAGGCAGATACGCAGTGCCTGACCCTGCAAACTCTCCGATGAATGAGTATTCGATTTGCAAGTGTTAGTCAGTACCGGCAAGCTGTAGCGCAAATAGACCCAGAAATAGGGCCCTGTACAGCTGTAGCA